GATAAACAATATCCTAATCAAGGAACTACCAGAGGGAAAAAATAAAACAAAACAAAACCCACCCCACCACCCCCACCAACACTGGCAGGGCATGCCACTGTATATAAACAGAGAGCAAACCCCATCCCATTCTAGCACTGAAGAGGTTAACTAGCCGGGTAACGAAACGTTTGCAAGAAAACAGCCAAGTCCAGAGAACTCCAGGGACTCCACAAAACAGACACCTCTCTGGTCAATGGATAGTTCCGATGTTGTCATTTCCTAGTCAATAGATGTATGATGTGATGCTTCTTTGAAAGCTCAGAATTAATTGAGATGCATTGCAATCTCTCATACATCTTTATGTCTCTCAGATAAAAGGAGATCTTAAAATTTGCTTCCTGGACTTTTCCTGTGTACTTAAACGTGAGATTGCATACTCAGTTGTCAGTTTTGGCTCTCAAAGATGCTGGAACCAGGATGGAGCCAAGAACATAGAAATACCTCATGCAGATGAAAATGTCACTCCTACCATTATGCAGATTGAAGCAGCAATCTAAACTGTAGATCTGAGTTGTCATAAAAGGTCAAAAACATGGGTATTTAGTAGTTTTTTCCCCCAATGCATTTTCACCACTAGGATGGGAGAAAAGAAATTGATGCTTGGATGGTGACCTCACCTTAGTATACATGGGATTCATCATTCATGCATTTTAATCTGTTCTGGGCTTAGTCAAAGCATTCAAACAAGCACCCCAAAATTTTGATTTTTAGACAAAATAATCTAGCCCTTGTCTTGGAAATTAGTGTTACACTGGACTGTTTTCTGTTCCCAAGTTGTTTAATAACTCTAATTAGATATTATTTGATAATATAGTCTAGAAGCAGTTTCTGGATATAATGTGAATAATGGTTCACTATGAGTATGTTTTTGCTTAATTTATAGAATCTTTCATGACCAATCTTTATGTTTGAAGGAAAATAAGTTAATTAAATTTTATTAATAGGAAATAAAACATAATATATCTGACTTACACAGCTAAATATTTAATATATCTATAAAGTGCATTGCCTGGTCCCCTGGAGAATTATTGTTATTCACCATAGGTGAACACCCTTATAGCTCTTTCAAAGCCCAAAATAAATTGTATGGGGCTGAAGGAGGAAGATAGATTATGTTCTAAATTACCTATTTGTCATGGTTAATTACTGCACTTGCACAGATGTCCTTCAGCTACCAGTCTTAATTTATCATGACCCCTGAATATTGTTTCATTTCCCCAAGGAGTTTCCAAAAGTTTTATTAGTTTGAAGCTTTGCCAGCTCTGTTCAGGACCTGTGGCAGAGTCCAATGGGGAAGGCTTTCATGAAGGTAAAATCTTTCCAGGAAGCTCAAATTGCATTAATACCTGTGGTTGGAATGCAGCCTTTGTAACTCCACTGGTAAAGACAGTTAAAAACAAATCTGCTGGTTTATTAAGTTGGGGAAGCTCCCTTGGTTAGTAATACGCCATGACAGATTTTCCTGACTTCAGAAGGAGATGGTGTGCAATGTTACGGAGAGAAGTCACTGAATAAAATATGCAGATATGCTAGAATTGGGCCTAACTTTGGGGATTGCATGGAACATTCTGATGCAATTTTCTTGGCAACCAAGCCTGATGGCTACAGAAGAGAGAGAGCTCTTGTTAGCTGAGAAATGTTCCTGCATGCATGCGCACACACATACACACACAACTATATATATGTTAGTTAATTATCCCAGGAGCTCTTGGTACAGTTTTACAGGGGAATCATTGAGTCTGTTATCTGCTC